CAAACACTGCATTAAAATTGAGTTAGGTTATATCGTTTTTACTAGTTTGGATCGGATGTACCGAGTGTATACGGAGAGATCCTCTAAGCGGTACACCCGAGGCTGCAGTATAGATATATAATAACGTTCTAAACATATCTAGTTAATCATCTCACCACGGGCTACAGCTGATAATCCTATAAAAAAATATCAATATTGCACATTGCACATTGCACATTTTACGAGCTTACGATATATTATTAAACCTATTGTAAGCTCACTCGAGTGTCGCATTATTTCTCCAAATGTTTGCGACCGAACGAAACGCGTGCCTACACAAAAATGTTTACCTATTCTACACGTATAAAAAAACGATTGTGCATAAGTACGGCGATAGTATAATAATAATAATAAAAAAAAAGTGTTCGTGTACTGCATTTATGTGCGTATATACACATGTATACGTGCAGCATACGGTAAACGGATACGCATAAAATGCCGAAGGACCACTATGCAAACTTATCAACTCGCGCGAGCGCGCGCGCATACACACAAACGGGTGGCAGGCGCGCACGCACGCGCATGCGCTCACTCGCTCACTCACACAGCCGCACACGCACTACGCGATAGGCAACTGGCCAGCAAACACCATGGGTGGTCTTTTGGTAAGTCTACAAATTAATGCCGCTAATTTAATTGGAATCATGTATGTGTATTTATATATACGTTTACGCACACACACGCGCACAAGCGCACACACACACACACACACACACACACACACACACACACACACACATACCCGAGCGCATTTATATATACTGATTCCGCACGCCGCGGCCGCCGCTATATACAGTATTACAGTATAATACCGCTGCGGCGAGACCATCGGTCGGCGTGTGTATATTATTATAGACGAGTACATATATATATATATATATATTAAACAAAATAATATGTGTATAAAATATATTATACTATACGTATATACGAGAGCGTAATTATTTCGAATTCTTTAATTTTATTTCGTTTGTGCACGCGAAAAACGCATCCGCGTGGCTCTGCGAGCGAATAATATATACATACACGTCACATCGGATATATAGGTACATATTATAATAATATGTATAATGTATTATACAGAGTGATTCGCCGGGCGTGTACACCCCCCTATCTGTTATGCCTTTATCATATGTGCATAAAAAATTCTGAATTTTTACAACTTTTAAATGTAGGTGGGAGGTTCTCGTCGCTGACGACCACGTTCTCAAATGCCGAAATTTTTATACGATTTTATACGAAGTGTTGAGGAGTGTTTTTTATTTATATTTTTAATCCACAATAATGGTTTTACATAAAATATATTAAACATTTAATATGGCACTTATACAAATTATAAAATATTGCTATAATAAATAAATAATTTAAATTACTATAATTCTAAGATCATCATTCACATCCCCCTTTTAAATTTAATATCCTTAGTAAATATTTGAAACTAAAGCCAATAAAAACTGTACAAGAAACTAAAGAAAAATATTTACCATATAAAAGGGGAAAATTTGAGTGAACACAATCACTCTGTATATAATATTAAGGAATCTATAGTAAGGAGACGACTACCGATCGGAGACAGTTAAAGGTATTATAGTTATGTTTTTCGATCGTTTGTTGCACGATATTCGTTAATTTAATTAAAATGAATAATCGTTAATGAAGATTACGAGTTACGAGTTCAGAAATTATCTGCACGCATTACAAAATATAGAGGCTACAAACAATCTTGAAATGGTTGGACGATTTGGCTAAATGTAAGCTGGGCCAGCGGTTACCAACTCGGCCCGGAAATGTTAGGTTTAACAATTAATGCATGTGAATCATCTCATGCCCATTTTAATTCAAGTTTCAATTCTACTCAACCCAATATTTATTCTATCATTATAAAATTAAAAAAGTACATAAACAGCCTAAATGCACCATTTCAATTTCAAAATCCAAAAACAAAAAAAAATTCTTAGAAAGAACACTTACCTACACAATACAAAAGTAAAGAAATATCGGCAAGTGAATTAGTCAAACACGTGACTTTTTACTTAAAAAAATAGATTTTATTTTAACCTTACATTATGACACTATAATTTTAATTATATTTTTTGCACTGAATACCCAAATAAAAATTCAATATTGAAACTCTTATACCCTTACATTTTTACATTTTATACTTGTAACTATAACGAATTTTATGCTATGAATAATAATATGAAAATGAGAATAATTTTTGGATTACAATGAGAATCACCTCCTCATGGGGTCCTCTGGGTAATGCTAAATGGTTCTCAAAAATATTATTAGAAATTATATATTTATTTTTATTCGGGTTGAGTTTACACGTCAATCATTTTTACCTGAAAAAAACACGGGACAGAGTTAACAATACGAAAATTGAATACTTAAACTGAAAAAAAAATTGAGATTGTTATTAAAAAAAAAAAAAATATCAGAACAAAGAAGTTATAGGTGGACGGGAAAAGTCTAAATACGGGTCCGCAGTAGTAGGTATATGAACACTGACCTCGCACGTCGACAATATGGTTGTAAGTGTAAATACGTAGAAAACGCTGTTTTCGCGTATCTTTATATATAAATAGTCGTAGAACATGTCGATAATGGCCGTTATTAATTAGACCCCATATATATACACACGAGATAGAGGTACAGACCGTATAGTTCAACACCGCTCGCGTATACGATTATAAATATTTATGTTATACGTAGAGATTACGTGTTTTTGCTCGCGACTTCGAAACGTGTGATCGATCGATCGGTCTCGATCGTTATGGAAACAAAACGCGCCACAGCACATAATATACCTAAACATACGTACACAGCAAAATACGTTTATTATTATTTTGTCTATACGCGTGCGTACAGAAAGAGTCGGTTTATCGCAGTACGAACGACGTAAAAATATAATGCAGGGTACCTACCTAATATATTAAGAGGACGTTACACCTGTAAGTCGTCGCCCTTGTTTTAAACTGCAACACAGGTACAATAATATTGCAAAATTTGAGTCCAACATTGAATTATTCACCTATTTTCAAATTTATAATTATTATCTAAAGAGCATAATATGAGGTTCGATACTTATGAGGTACGCCTTATATTATGTACATAATAACAAAGCGAGTTATTTTTAATTTTAAATTTTTTTACATTAAATATAATTTATTATTATATAGTTATACGCAATCATTTTTAAATTTGTAGATAACACATTTTGAAGTCAAAATTTCAATAAAAAGTGTGTACAAGTTTTCCTTAGTAATATATTCTTTTGCCTTATAATTTGATAGTGGACTAAGATACTATTATTAACAAAACTAACAACACAAAATGAATTCTTCTTGCAGCATTTTTTCTTTTTACCTATACATTGTACGACGTTTGTAAGACGGAGACAAACTCACTCGCGGGTGTAGTGTCCTCTTGGCCAATAACGAGTAAACATAATATTATTGTGTTATTTTGTGTGCCTATCTACATTATACGAAACTGTTCTAATTGATATAATAATAATAGTATTAAGTATAGCGCGCAATTTGGATTACGAGCCATGTCATTATTTTAATTATTCATGTGTATCGCTCTATGTACCTTATAAGAGAAGAAAGAAATCATTTTTCCCCCTTGCGGCCGCCACGACGCCCCGTAATTATATTATGTAGTAAAGTGCATACAGGGTGATGTTTACAGCAGAATTATTCGCAAACGTTCCTTGTAAACTTTTTATTTTTCAGTCTAAAAAATATTATATTACATTTCACTATATTTATTAGGTATACGTTTACTGGTAGATGACGAGTTAGTTTTCTCGTGCGTTTGTCATCTGTAGTAAACCTCAACATTTAAATTATAAAACATAAAAAAACACCGGTCACGACGTACATAGGTAACACGTACACTCATATCAACGTGACATATTCTGTATAGCATTTTTTTTTATCGAAAAAACAAAAATTCTTATAGTTCGTGTCATATCACCCATCAGAAATGCTGTACCATAAAAACGGAGTTTTAAATAATTTTTATTGAATTCGATTTGAGAATTTGCAGAACAAAATGATGATTTTTGTACACACTACACTTACACTTGATTTCTGGGGAATTGGCATGGTTTTGAGGGGCCCTAGCCCATTTATAAATGCGTCAATGTGAACATACACTTACACCCTTGCCCATGTAGACATTGGACAAGTGACGACTGAGAACAAAAATCGTTTACCCTGTATATTAATATTATGCACAACACCGTCGTCTATACGGCCCGGCAAAGTCGAGTCGACACCACCTCCATGCATGCGTGCGTCATGTGAGCACACGCACACTTATTAGTTATTATGTATACGACTATACGAGTATATTATGGGCAAATTACCGTGGCACAGACTTCGCGGTAATTAATATTATTATTATTATTAACTGGTCCGTATGTACGTACATTATACTTATATTAGTCATTATCATTATTATTACTGAACAACCATCGCGGGGATATCGATGAATGAAATAATATGTATATAAGACCTAATGACTATATTGTAAAATACGAATCTGGGTCACGCACATGTTTCGAGCGATATTTCGACGATTTATCGTTAATAGGTATTCCTATAATAGTAGGTATATAGGTACTATTATAATAATGTACCTATAAGCGCGGGGAGAGTCCTTGAGATTCGGTTTTGTCGCCAGCATGGCAGTTGCACAAGCTCAATAAATATCAATAATATAATAATACAGTATTTTATGTTATCGAGTTCTCGAAAGTAGTTAAACCTATCTTTGGATAATACGTGTTCTTAGACCGTCCCTACCTATATTGTAAATACCTTAGACTGTATATACCTTTATTGTTGCATATTATAATATTATTACACCTACCAATCATTACCATTGTTGCAATAATTATGTCGACATTTTAATAATATTTGTTTTTGTTTTGTTTTATTCAAATATAGGAAGAAGTAAGTACACGAAAAGCTGACATATTGAAAAAATAAGATTGCCAACAACAAACAAACCAAAAAAATACCATAAAACAAAAAAACGAAAAAGTGAGATCTAAACAATTATAATATTATATAATAATAAGCAGGTTTTTAGATTTTTAAGTCTGAAAGACGAAACAACAAGTTCCCATAGAAATAACAACAATTATGACAACGATATGTACCTACATTTTATTGGGCTAATGTACACGCTGAACTGTTGGACGGTTTCTTACGTGCATATTTTTTTTCGCATATAACTTTTATTATATCTACAGATATTTTGATACGATTTTGGTTCAAACGAGTGTCGTCACGGTTATCGTAACGTGTACGATTTTTATTTTTATAGTTAATTGGGTGTTTGAATTAAATTTTAAATATCATATTATAAAAAACTTCGGGAAGTGAGTGTATATATCATTAGACATTAATCGGTGATCGGTTTATAGATTTTTAGAATATTTCGATCTTCGCGTCACCCCTAAGAAACACACTTGTATAAGTGTACATATATATATATTATAATATACCAGTAGACACAAAATAATTAACGATTTAATCGACGCTTGCAGGAATAGCGCTCGGATCATTATATCAACATAATAATAATTATTCCAAAACGAGTTTTATAAGATGATATATACACTCGTTGCCGCAATGCCACTATTATACAATATAAAAATAATAACATAAGTATAATATTATAATAAATACGAAAAATGATATCCGAATCTTAGTTGCGGTACACATCATAATATTAGGCGATACGATGTATATAATAATAATAATATGCGACGGATCAACATATCATACGCACATCGTTCTTATACATTGTATTTTAATAATTAACATTTTACCACACACACACTCATCCCGAGACTGTATAATATGCAAGCGAGATATAACAATTTAAGTGGGCCGAGGAGGGTGATATATAGAGCCGCCGCCGCCGCCGTATGTACAGTTAAAATTATGATAATATCGTAAAGTAGCTGTGGGCGGGACCGCCGCGTATACAATATATGACGTATTAATATTTCTGAACCGGAGAGATTTGTTGGTTTGACAGAGTCGCAGTACGCTAGTAAGGATCCAAAAATAAAAAATAGCTATAAAATAATAATCCGTTCGTTACCCCGAACTGTCCGTCGCATGTGTGTTACTATTTTATTATAATGCGTAACTACCGCACGAAAAGCTTACTCGTTGCATTACACGTCGTCTGTACTCATTCAATTTAACAATGTAAATATGCATAATCCGGAGAATTCCCACTGAACGCGGGACAAAAAAATCACAACAAATCGATCGACCCGTGTCGAAGAAAATTTTCCCATAATATAAGGTACTTGGTTTTCGGAATTTCTTACGATTCGAGACATTTCCCTTTCATTGCTGTTGGTATGGCCGGTGACCTATTTGGAAGTTCCAGACTTTTGTCTTTTTCTTCCAGATTTATGTAGTTGTGGAGTTTTTTTCTATTGATTGTCGTATTAGTTGTGTGTTGAAAAACATATGGGTATAAACATGGTCTTCCAGGTCTGGTATGCCTACGAATTGTATAGGCGGGGATATTGAATTTTTATTCTTGTGAGTAAGTTAGTTTGGTATAGTGGAATTCCAGTTGTTGTTCTTAGCCTGATGTTTTGTGCAGCTTCTATTTTTTTCCAGTTCGACTTGTTTATTCGAGGCCACTATGCAGCAGCCACGTTTAGGAGGATTGGCCTTATGTTTATTTTTAACAAGGGTATTCTAGCGGTTATCGGAATTTGACTTTTGCTATTTAGAATCGGATAGAGTGCGGCTCTGAAGCGTTTGGCTTTAATATAATTGTGGTGTTAACATGGGTTAGTGTTTTGTTTAGTGTTACTGTAAGTACTTTGCAGTATTAAACCTGCACATTTGATTTCCGTGTCGTGGATTGGTATTTTCCTTAAATTGAGTGTATTTTTTTGATCCAAAAAGTATTGATATTGTTTTTGCAACATTTAGTCGCAGTTTCCACTGGGTGGGCCATTTTTTAATTTAAGTTAATTTGTCGTTGGAGTTTAGTACTGCTTGATTGGTTTTCGTATTGCTTGTTTACACTCTTCGAAAAAACATTAATAATGTCTCAACGCTGTACGTATTAGAGTTAACCAAAGGTCTGCTCGGAGAATGCTTCGCAATACGACAGATGAATTACAAAATGTATGAGATTGTTTATAACATTGAAACTCATATCAAGAGCAGGCATGACTTTGACTCAGCGGCCTAGCCGCAACCCGTCGGATGGTATTCGTGAAAAGTAGTCTTTTCAAGTTGTCAGCTTCGGTTGCATCCAAAAAAATAATTGAAAGAATAAATTTTATGGATTTAAATAACCACGAGACCAATAAAATCGAAAAGCAGTTTAATGATGGCTTGTATCAAATGGACGACTCGGTAATTGTTGAGCAATTTACGAATTTCTTAATGAAAGAAACATATTCTTGCATTTTCATAACAACACGCACTTTTTTGACGGAGAAAGTGGTTTGCCCGAGTAATTTTAAGCTCACGAAGAACAACAAGAAATATATATTTACTTAAATCTCGGGTTTCATTGGTTCGGGCCCCTACATAAACGTTATTTGTGATGATGGGGTCGCACTGCTGCTCCTGGATCTGTAACTAGGCATGTGTAGCTATCGGGGTAGCAAAAGGATTAAATAATGTCTTCCCAGAGCGTCTCGGGGCTATATAAACATTTCACTTCGTCACGATGAGCGATTTTTCTGTGTGTTTTTAGTGCGCCGCAGATGGGTCTTGAAATCATTTTGTATTATAATAATATTATTACGTGTATATGATTATAATTCTCGTATACCTACGTTCTTATTTTGCGATCGAATAATGCATCGGTAAGACGGATGACTCATCATATCGCACTATATAATATATATTATGTGTACTTATACGGTATAATATGTAATAATATATTTTATTACACATTATTACGCCGTGCGCAGACTATTTGACATTTATTTTAATGATCGCACGGACATAAAGTACTAAGACCTGCAGCACCGAGACAGTAAATATATTTTATCGGTTACACACAATAATAAAAATGTGTTCACGTTTGATTATTAAATTATTTCTGTATTTACCTACAAAAATAACGATATCTCGGTAATAATAACACGACGACAGCAGCAATAATCATCAAAGTCAAGCGACGTTTGTCCAACACGTGATTGATGTTTGGAGTATAGGATACCTAAAAATCGAAGGTATAGTAAAAATTTTAATGTGTTATCCGTCCAATAACATTATAATAAGGTCCCACGAGGTCCATTTCTATCGCCCTTTCGTTTTTATTATTTATCTTTTTTTTTACGCCATACACTATGTGGGTTTATCGTATAAACATCGAGCTAAATGATTTACTGAAAATCTATTAAAAATTTATTTGTCGATAATAAATCAACGTATCGTCGCACGTACCATATAGGTAGTTATTTTACGTCAAGTAACTGGATCGAACTATATGTCTATATGTATAATAATAATACTCCTTGCGGGCAAATCGAGTGGGCTTAATCGTAATTAAGAACGAGCAAGATAATTCAAACGTTTATAATAAAAGAGTATATAAAAGAGTACACGTCCAGCCGCATATGATTTTATTCTTTAAGTTTTATATTGTTTACGAGTACTTATGTACAAGGTGATTTACTATAAGCATATTTTCCTTTGATTACCTATGCGTTTTTTTCATGCAATTTACATTTTTCAATTTTTAAGTAGGTATCCTAAGTTAGACTTAAAGATCATGTTGTATGAAACACTCATATTTTATTATACCTCAAACTTGAGATGTGATATGAACTTCATTGTCGCATCGCAAATGAAAACCTACTTTATGTTGTATGTAAGCCTATCAGTACATATTATTTATTAAGGACCTTTATCTTTCTAGTACATAGTGAGTTTAATAAATCAGTAGGTAATTACCCGTTAAAATTTCGATTTAGACAAAGTTACCTACATCAGTTTTTAACCAAAAATCGTAGACTTAACAATTTATTGTTCCACATGAGAAAAAAAATTTGTGCCGCCACCGGAAAAAAATGGTATACAAACCTATGTATTTTACCTCCTGTGATTTTTATGCAAAGGAATCGGAAAATATAATTAACAAATTAATTATAACCAATTCACTACAGTTTACTGGTCGATCGGTACTACATCTACGGACAATTATTATAAAACGAAACAACTCCTACGAGTTAAATGCAGATACGCGTATCTGACATATGGATGCACGCGCGTCATACCTAGCTGTATAATGATATAAAATAATAATAATAATAATATGTAATTGGTAAGTTGGTTTGCATAGGTAGTGAAATCGAATTGAGTGGGTGTAACCCTTGGGCACTTGTAATGACGGGAAACAAGTGTCCCGAGGGATCTATCTATGTCATGCTGTATCGCTGTATACATAGATCACCCTCCCCCCGGAGATAATGTTATAGAAGACACGAGCCGATTTACAGTCTGAAACGCCCATTTATAGAGGCATCATATAAGCGAGTACTAATAAAATGTGATAATATTTATTACAGTGATATAAGCGTAGCCGTCACAAGATAAAAAAATTAATATAAATACAATTTTAAAACAAATACGTGAAAGAAAAATATATAAAAACCATACCGATTCATGCTAAAGAGTATAAAATATTAAAACATCGTTTATCCATTTATTCGAAATACAATGATAAATATAAACGGTAGATCATCACATATTTCGTACACTGTACATAATATGGTGGAGCAATTAAGAAATATCGCAAAACTATGTACTTCTCGGTGGCATAATACAATATCAAAGGAAGCCTATTTTCGAATGTCTGCAGAATGTAAGTGTCAAGTATATCTGCAGTATATTATGATATGATATGTTTATCTCGCAGTTCAAAATATAATAATAAAAATAAAAATACATATATTTACTTATATGTGTGATACAAAATATTTTATTTCACAGTTCACCCATAAAAACATAATTTAATAGTATAAATGCAAGTAGCTAATTTAAATTAGGTATATCTAAAAGTTTTTATGGACTTATCAAAATATTATATTCGTTGTTTGAAAAACCGACACATAGCTACAAATCTATACAAAAATATTAACGTCAAAAACAGAATAAAAATATATTAAGTCGTTTAAGACAAAAATAGAATTCAAACATTTGGCTAAATGAGTAAAATATTTATGTATAATGTATATATATATATATATAATTATAAATCAATGCCTCAGCTCTTGTAACATAATATAATTAGTGTTTTTTATTTCTCGATATTCGTGCCAACTGCTAAGTTCATGCAATTTCAATTGCCTAGTTGGATATCATTCTCTTACAGCACAACACAATATGCATATATTCATGCGTCGTGGTTTTCGACTTAATTATTATTATCACTCAAATTATTTCAATATCATAGCCTATATAAACGAACAGTGTTAGACGAAAGTTTTAAACTGTAATATGAAGAAACTACGTACATTTTTATTGATAGAAATAAATCATTTATACATAGAAAAATTGATTAATGTAGACACATGCTTTTCAAAAGTCAGATTGATTTGAGACGGTCGATGAATGGTTGGTAGTGTTCATAACATATATTTTATTTTAACGGTTCTGGGTTTATTTTTAGGCGGCTAGGTGTCTAGGTGGGTTCTTATCACACAGGTGATTATAGAGGCTGTAATCTCAGGATTACAAACGATCTTACAACCACTTTGTTTATTACACGGAATGGGAATATAATATGCAAAGAACATGGATTCTTATTATTATTATTTCATCCATGGGGCATATATAGTTCAATGTCCTGCGGGTGTCAGAGTTATTATAGGAGGCGTATAGGTTATAATAGTATAGATTTCTGTCATGCCTGAAACGTCATCGATGACAATATCTTTTTCTGTAGGCAAATTTCCCAGCCCCGAATAAAGGGTGATCAGCTCGTGAATTTGGAGCCGAGTGATTTCGAGTGGCCACCCCTTTCCACACTGATCCTTATGGAGCGATTTTTGCTATCGAGACATATGCGCAGAGTTGATGGCAGGTAGTGCTAGGTAGGACTGCGTAAGCCGTTAAACGTTATGCACTTATGTATAATAATATGGACTTCTCGATGGGAATGTTGCATCATTATTTTCGTAATTCCCGAACTGCAGGTGACAGCACTGCATCTAAATATCGATTGGCGTTGTCGGACAGGGGGTGTGATAGTACCTATAGTAACGAGCGACAACACATTCTTGTATTATTATTATTTTTATACGACGCCGACCTGGTCGCATGCATTTACGACGCTATTAAACGCCACGGCGTGGGATCACTGCGGCGAGCCGACACTCGGCGTATATAGTGTCTCTGCATATATGTCATATATTTATGTGCATACGTACAGGTATAGGTATAGGCACAAGGCAGGTCTGCTATATAATCGGTATGTGTATAATATGGCATGTATAGGCGCAATGCGACTTTAGGGCGAGGACCGTGCGAAACTCTTCTTGTGTACTGGTCTTACTATACTTACATTAGGTACATAATATAACATGTATATTTATAGTATAGGGTACAGTGTATACGCAGTGCCTACACATCCGAAGCTGTCGCAAAATTTCGTATAAAAAAAATTACGTACAAATTTGAATCTGAATAATTTATAATTACCGTCACTTCCGCTTGCATGACCACACACGATACATCCGACCGGTTATTGCCTATCTATACACACACATCTTTACCAATGCATACACACACACACACACACACACACACATACTTAACCTAACACATACATAGATACAAACACAAACGGATATGCATACGCATGCATGTCGCATACTATAATATTATGTACCTATACTTTTAGATAAAATAACGCTAACAAATTATATACATATAGATACCGCTGTCTCACCGTATCCATATGTCTGCATCGCGTTTAGAGGGCTACGATAAAAGAAACATATATAGTGTACAAACGGGGCTAACCCCACACAAATCGCAAGGCATATATTACAATATATTATAATAATGATCGCCTTTGAAATCCACCTTTTTCATATTTCCGCTCCTGCGTATGTGGCATATATGTGTATGAAAACAGTTTTTGCTCACAGTTCGATTACTATAGAGTTTTACATTTAAAGTTCATAACTAATTATTAAAATATTATATGTTTAATGTAAAATATTATTTTGTATATTATGCTCAAACGCCAAACCCTATTACATTTTTCGACTGTACGTCTGGTTATAAATTGCTCACAGATGGCTGTTATCATCATAATATTGACATACTCATTACTCATATCCCGCCCATTTGTTATCCGTCTTTATCTATGCGCTGTCCCTAAGTAGTCTGAGAAAAAACAGGAGTTTCTGATGGTGTAATATTAATATCTCTGCATTTTGTTCACTGTGCTATTTTTTAGTAATGTATACCACATGCGCGTCACATGTGTAGTCGGGAGGACGCGATAACCGCAGCCTCGGTATACTTTTTGCCAATCATTATCGTATGTATATACATCACACGGGGTTTTGATATCTTCAATATTATATGTTGACCCCCGTCGTCTAACGACTATATATGGTGTGCAGTCTCCGTAGGCATTTGAACATCTCGGAGTGAGTTATGAGTCGAGAATTGTGCTTATATATGTCGTCTCACGTCGCGATACAAAAACCATTATTGGTATTGGAAAATACCGCGATGAATGACGTTTTCCTGTCTTCGAGTTTTGCAGGAGTGGGTCAACAGACTACGCATTTATAATACTTAAAAACAATACAAATACACATAACGATTAAACAATTAATTTACTGCTCGTCACGTACACAAAGATTATAATTTTACCATCGATGATGGACCCCGATGTTTATGTGTGGCAATCGAACTTAGTTGCATTTTTTTTTTCCATTATGGTACGATAGCTGAGGTATATGTTGTTATTAATATAACTCAATTTCATAATGATTGAATAATTAATGAATAATGACAACAATTATCAGCAGGTACATATTCGGTGACGAATACAATTTTTATGGTTATATGCAGATAAGCAATTTAGTAAATTTAATTGAGATTTTGATCATGTGGCCGTGTCATGAGTTCATGATCAACAATATATTTCATTCTTCAACGTCGTATTTAGCTTATAAATTATACTGTACCTACGGACTAGTATTAATAATGCGCTTATCTATTGTAAATCAAATCTTTTAGATGCGAAGAGTATTGGGTACTATTTTAAAATTTTCTCTAGTAAACTTACTCAAATTTTTATTGCCAAAATACGTGAATCTAAGAATAGGAATCATTAAAAATAATAATGTAGCTATAGATTTATTTTTTGTTTTTAACTTTGATTATTAATGTCTGTTTCAATTGTTTGTGCAATAAATATAAATTATGAGTACAAATCTGAAAAAATGTTTTATTCATAGTGGTTTTTAGTATTTTTTTCTTGCTTGAACAATGTTAGATTAATCGTAATAATATTTCATACCGCTAAATGGAACAATGAATTATATTTTATTTTTAATTTAATTTCTGAAACTCATTTCACTTTAACATCGTTACCCGATTACACAGTCCCGTAATATGAGTGTCGGCCTTTAGTAACCTAGTGTTTTGTCATTTCAGGTCCTAGGACTCGGCGAGCAAAGAAAAAGGATAAGCAGCAGCAGGACGAAAAGAGGCCTCGGACTGCGTTCAGTGGCGACCAGCTGGCCCGGCTCAAGAAGGAGTTCACCGAGAACCGGTACTTGACTGAGAGACGGAGACAGGAGCTGGCCAACGAGCTAGGCCTGAACGAGGCCCAGATAAAAATATGGTTCCAGAACAAGCGGGCCAAGATCAAGAAGGCCAGTGGCACCAAGAACCCGCTCGCCCTGCAGCTGATGGCCCAGGGTCTGTACAATCACAGCACGGTCATGGTTACTAAAGAGGAAGAAGAACAGCTGGCCGCGGCACAAGTAAGTGCATTATCAATTTATAATTCTACAAAGGCTCGCTAAAATGCAAACAAATCGTAGCAAATAGATTTACAGAAATCAATGCAATAAGCATTCCAAAAAATAAATAATAATGCGCATGAAATGATACATTTTGTGTTTGTTTTGGTCGTCGTTGATGTGTCCGCTGAACTCCCAACGAAACCTGTTTCGTGGGTGTATTTAATCTAAAAAATAGAATAATATTATCTTCTTCTATCTATATCCGTGGTGGTTTTAACAATCAACTTCATACGGGTATTGTACATTTGTACGGGTGAGTGTGTGTGTGTGTGTGTGTGTGTGTGTGCGCAAGTTTATACCTACACCGAAATTTGTTCGAGGACCATACATAAACATTGGCGTACAACGGGAAAGAGGACTCGTATAATATATTATTATCGTAGGTATATGATAATACACACGCGGGCTGTTGTAATAGTTTGTATGATGTTATAACAATTTATTGCGCAGTGATTATGATGGTTGTAGACGCAGTAGGTAGGTAGTAAATATATTGTAAAAGTCCAGCCCGCGGGCGACTGGTTTATGGCGAGCTCCCTTCGTTATTGGTTTCCTCGAAAATTCCATCGCAACGGAGTCGCATAAATCTCGTAAAAGCCTCGATGAAAATTACAATTTTAAGAGTGCATTAAAGAGACAACATCGTTAATGGCATCTTTTATAGATAGTGAAGACAAAGCTCATACAGCTCATACTATTTCTTCGATATTGTGATGTATCGATATGATTTTAAGCAGTGATGGCGTATACATTTCCCTTTACTTTATTTTAAAATTAAGTGTAAGTAGATGGAGAAAAATCTCGATACACTTGTGCTAAGTGAAAGTAAAAGATCATTATTTAATCTAAGGATTCCTAACCTCTAGCAAAAGTGTGTCGTGTAATTTTAGTCTTATTATTTGTGTAGCTTGTATAACATGTGTCAGCATCGAGTGATAAAAATATGGATTAATAGGCCCCGTTTTACTAAAATCTCAAATAATTTGAACTTTAAATACAAATAAAAAATATTTATTTTAAATATTTTTGAACTGCTATTAAAACAACTTATGAGGAACCTTGGATATTTTCGAGCTTTTTATTCAGAACGAAATTTGTTTGTAGACAATAATCAAAACATTTTTACAAAATTCAGAATGTAATAAATAAAATAAACATTTGTGAACAAGTCACAAATTGAATGCAAAATGTTTTTCAAATTTTAATTTCGGCGGGTGTTTCAGGATAATACAGCTTGATGTTACTCACAGGTGTAAGCCTGACGTCGTGATTTCGTAGTTAACCTGATAGACATAATATTTGCATACGTAACATCATGCAAATCGGAGCGATCGTTGCAAATAATTGTGAATCGTAGTGAAGTTGCTCGTTTTATACGATTTGTGCAAAAACTAATCGCCGTCGATTTTTAGACAAGCGATTGAGCGAAGAAAATCGTATCGCAACCCGCCCTCGAGATTTTGGTTGTTTTGGTTGAGGAAATGCGACGAAACCGTCGGTGCCGATTCCGTTGAATTGTTGTACGTTTTTGGTATTCGCCACACACCATCTGATTGTTCTTTTCGCCACTTGTTTGGGCACCATTGGTCGTCGTCCGGCGGTGCGGGTTTGATCGTGCCGGCGACCACACACACACGAGCGCGCGCGACCGGCACACACGTCCGTCTCATCTCGGTCCGGCGGCGGCGTTATTAAACATTCATAAACGTGTCATCGTCGCCGCCGCTGCGTACGCGTTCGCCGTATATTATGCCTTTTTAATAGGTTTTTCACTCGTTTCTCGGCCTCTTCCTCCCATAAGTGTTTATGCATTTTGTAGAGATAATCACTGTGGCTCTATACACTAATAAAAGTGCACATAGTGTAGGTAATATGATCGTGAATCGCGAAATAGTCACCTCACAACCTTAATGGCGAGCCAATGGTAACCACCTCTTAAGACCCCTCCCTCCCTCCTTTGTTTTGTCTTCATCCCCGGACCAAACCGTGGTTCTTTTAAAAATATTAGCTATCCTGTACTGAACACAATATAAGTCGTGTTAATTATGTCCAATACACAATTTACGCATTAGTTTGGATACAACGACGAGCAAAGTCCTTAAATACGTGTTAAAACTGGTCGAATGTAATACACGATTTCGAGGTACTGTCGGAGCTAACACCGGATTCAATATTCGTGATCCACATATCTATGTTGATAAAAAAAGAATCCAAACGCGTAATATGAATAATACTTACACCCTGCCCAGATTTTGATGAGACAATAATAATGAACAAAAACAAACGACACATAACTTAATTATTTACGTGTAACAGTCGATTCTCGCGGCTGTCACGAACTGCAACAGACGCCCATCAATAGTTATGTAATACCTATATCTCGTGCCATTACTATAATTGGCAGCAAGATAGATTTGTGTTGGCACGTGGCCGGCCAACCCACACTAAAGGCCTATACTTATAACCATTTTAAAAATATAAAAACTTCATATATTTGTGCGTAAGTCGTAAAGGCAAATAGAGTTAACAACATAGATACAGACATAAATGTGTACGATTTAAAAACAAATGTAACACATTATTAAATGTCATTTGTGTTTTAAATCATTAAAGTACATTGATATCTTCTTCGGTTTTTGAAATAAAACAATTTCTTTTCTTGTAACGATTAATAACAATACGAGATAGGTACTTAATAAATTGACAACTGAGAAAACTATTAAAAGAACTGCAACAGCCAATAGTAATATAATTTCTTGGTTCCAAAAGTTTCGTTAGTTGTATACATTTCTTTATTTTTCGGAGCCTTAAACCTAGCCTCGGGCCTTCCAGCGATAGCCGATTATGCCTCCCCTTCAAACAGGTCGTAGCTCGACGGTTTTTACGAGTATGTCGACAGTCGACAGCCCAGCATAATATTATTATATGATATATTGAAAAATTATAATAGGTACAAGCTGACGATAAAAATGTTTTGACCGGTCTCGGCAACGTCAACACGAGAGGCGATAATGTTCTACTGCACTTATAATAATATGTATATAATACGCAGTCGGGTGAGGAGCAAGAGGGACCCGGTTATGAAAAAGTTTATAGTCGTATACAATAACCATATTAAAATATATCGTGTACACACACATGTAGGCATATGTGTATGCGCAAATGGTCGAGAGACACGCATACTCGGTCACATATACACATTAGTATATAATATTATTATTGTGGCCGACAACCATTTCAAATATTATTATATTATCAGCTGGGAAACAGTGCCGTTTGGGTCGTCATCGGCCTCACCTAGTAAACTTGAAATGTACAGGGGAAATCGTAAAATATTATATTGCCACAGTCCACCAGCAAACTACGTTTCGAAAGTACATTGTATTATTAAATTTATATAATGCGTGCAACGGGACCCTCCAGCAGTGGATTTCGTTTTGAGAAAATTTAGAACGAAAATCGAAGGCCTATTCTCGTAATGATAAATGAGAAATACTATCACAAAATACCTACAGAAACACAATGCAAGGGTAATTTTTCCGGCAAGACGACGACGCGTATGATAATAATTATAATAATAAAGTAAAATTAATGTATCATAGGTATCCGGCATTGTTTTGTGCGGATTTCGGTAAAAAATCGTAAACAGTTGCACGCTATATATAGTGGTACCTATACACATTGCCGGTCGTTAGCGCTATAGTGTTTTCATAACATAATTACTGTCTATTATTTTCCCAAACAACGCTATATGTGTACATAATAGATAGTAATAACATACAAGGGCGGAGATTTCGTTAAATTTAAAATAAAAATATGAATGGGGGGGGGGGGGAATTTTTTAAAAATAAATGTTGCATTTAAATAGGTCTTATACCATAATTATATTATTATTAAATATGCTGTAAGACAGTTGTCCTTCAATCCGCGGCTCACCTTTTGAGTCCAACATATAGCTTGTATTTTTTAAAAAATGTTTTTTTATTACGAATGTGGCCCATGAGATTTTTCAATAATAATACGTGGCCCTCTCCATAAAAGGCCGAAAACTATAATACTTGGCGAGTAAGGATTTTAAAAAAAATTCAAGGGAGATTTATTTGAGAGGGCTAAGCCCCTGTAAGTAGCCCTCCCCGACACCCAACCACCGTCAATGCATACTCATATTTTTCACCCTTACCTTATATTTCATTATATATTAACGAAGTTTGTTTTGTTTTATGTGTTTCAGGCTATGGAAATCAATGACTGAATAAACTTAAAAAAAAAAGTCATTTCATTCGGTGACTTCTCAAATGCTGCTGCTGCTCGCCCAACGCAACTATCGACGTGGTGACCGAACGGTGTTTCCTGAAATGGGTACTACACCTACTTACCCATAAACCTACGACGTGCATACTATAATATTGTTATTGTTGTAATCAAGTCGACGGGGATAAAAAATTCGATGTTACTATGACATAGACATTAATGACCTTGCACACCACCGAAGAAGTCGCGTTTTTGACATAGTCTTACGATTTTATATTAGGATCCACGTGGAAAATCTTTATTATCATCATAATTATTATTATTATTTTTTATTTAGATATTTATTAAACGGCCGCCGTGCATTTAGTCGACCCGATTTAAAAACGTAAAATGTGTACAGTAACATTATTTGAAGAATGTGTGTGCGATTTATTACCTTTTCGAGATAAATTAGTTTGTATAATTGTATATTAAAAGAGAAAAAATGAAAAACATTAATCAAAACGTGTTCCCACACACGATTTAGATGTTTATTTTTAAATTTAAAATAAAAATTAGTTCCTTTTGTATTAATTTGTTACATTTGCCTACTATAATATGTTAAATACGAATAAATTAACCTATACACTAGTTTTGTTAGCCATATTTTAATGTATAATGTATATTGTAAATTATGTAATGCAGTTTTATGTATGCCTATGTATATAATAATATATAAATTCGATTTCTTAGTTAAAAAAAACTACAAAACAAAACTGTATGTCTATCGATTTTTTAGTTTTTTATTTTTATGCTTGGTATAAAAACCGTGTCAACTGATTGTCGTCAAACAATTGCGGAATTGCGTAACTAAGTTGTTTGAACGTTTTTATTCGGTTTAACTAAAATTACAGACAATTATAGTAACCTGACGATCGGTATGAAAAAATAAATAGTCCATCACATTGCAATGCTGCATGTTACAGATTCGTCGGTAAATACTAGTATATACTTGTAGGACGGTATGTGCATTATACTTATGCATTATTCATAATTATTTTCGAACAACATATACTTATACTAGGTAAGTATTAAATGTATACTTAGGTAGTATAGGTTGTTGTTACTAGGTGCGCAGGTCCACGTCTACATACAATGGTACAGTGAACACTACAACGACAACTGTGACTGCCAGGTTACTCGTTGGTAACAGTAAACAACAGTGTAAACACAATAAAACCATTGTAAATCATGATATTATGTTGAGAAGATAAATAATAATATATCTGCAAGTGCAGACATAAAATGTAATTGGTAACATAAAATACCTAATATAATGATTAAAACATATAACAACAGTTATTGTTAATTAAATAGATTCAAACAAAATGGTTTCGATATTAATTAATTACTGTAGGCATGATTATGATAGTTCTTAATGGGACGTAAGACCTCTGTCTATTTATAGTTTAACATATTCGATTATGCAAAAGTCTGTCGTCTAAGTAAATGTTAGTTGAATCGAATATAGTCAAATTTGAAGAGGTAAATATTTTTGAGATAATGTCATACCATTAAAAAAAAGTAATGCATACTACCACTATCTGAACCACGAGCTCTACATACAGATAAATTAGTTTTTCAGTGTACGGCATGTGTATGTGGGTACCAATTAACCATATTATCGACAAATGAGAATAGTATTACAAAAGCCCAATTCCTGCGAGATATGTCAACCATATCAAAATGATGAAAATTATTGGAAGAAAGCAAAGACAGAATTTGTTCATTCGGTACGTAACTTGTTGTAAGCTCAGCCTGGAAATTGCGTGTAATAAAAATGCTGGTAATAATTTTCACCGATAAAATATAATACAGGTGACACAACCTTAGTTTAAATAACATATTTTAATTAAACTCGCTCAAATATGTATCCGTGATGACTAAATAAAAAAAAAACATACCAAAACTAGCCTAACCCTATATGAATTGTTTAAAATCACACTTCAAAAATATAAAAATACAGAAATATCAGTAAATGAATAAGTCAAATACTTCTTAGAAAAATTAATTTTATATAATTCTACTCAGTTATAAAGAATTTTCATACTTTTTAAAAATATGAAAATTAAAATAAAATGAAATAATTTTTGGAGGATGATGAGAATCGCCTCCTCGGGAGTCATTGTAATGCTTAATGGTTCTCAAAATTTTACTAAATATCCGAGATATTTATACAACAAATATTGTTAAATAAATTACTAATTACTAATTAGCTAGGGTGTATAGTTTTATTATGTTTGTCACCTGAAAATTATTTAATTAATATCGCGTTATACTAAGATCTACAAATTATGACTTAGCCAACTTCCAGTGGGGTAAAGATTGGAATTCTGCAAAAACACAATTCATTACGTTAATAATAAAATATAGATAAATTATAAATAAACAATTATTGTTGTAAACTCGGCCTAGAAATTGCAGGTAATAAAAAGGTAATTATAAAGAACTGTCATACTTTTGAAAAATACGAAATGAAAATTCAACATCATTTTTGGATAATGCTTAAGGTTCTCAAAAATATTACTATAGGGCCTGGATGTTTATACAGCAAATATTGTTAAATAAATTACCAATCACTAATTAACTAGAGCGCGTAGTTTTATTCGAGCCGAGTAACATATCAATAAGTTTTACTTTGTCAAAAATTGGAGGCCGATAGTTAACGATCGCCCTCTATATGCCTCATATAATACTAGGTACATATTATTTTAATTGCTTAGTGTATGAGTCGATCGTTTTATTTTACATTTTAATAATAAAATAAAAATATTATAGTAGATAGGACGTTGTTAGGTGTACGAATAATCGAAAAAACTAAATCTATACAATGTATACATTACACATAATCTATATACATATAGGACGACATAGGTACCTATATGTAACTATTTGGACGGTCCGGCTGAGAGAGATTGAGTAAGACAGAACGCCCTACAGTGAATAACGTAAGACGTAAGTAATACTTACTAAGGAGAAGGTAAGTATAAGATATGCGCTATGGAATTTAATAATGTTATATCATGTTACGTAGAGGAAAACTAAATTTAAAAAAAGACCAGACGGAATATTTGATAGTTACTTTTGATTTTTGGCATCAAATATCTGTCGATGATTGGTTTTAATATAAAAGCGGAAGTGTGTGTAAGTACAACGTACAACACGAACAGCAACAGCGCACGTTTATGTTGATCGTTCGTTTCATCAGTCAATTCTTATATTAGTCATAAATACGTTATTTTTTATAAAGTTCAGATCTAACCTGCAGCACAATATTAACTATACGCATCAAATACTCGGAACGTAAAATTTAACAAAACACTGTTTAATATATTATTATTTGCTTGGGTACATGAAAACGTGATATAATGTTCGTTGATCTATACTCGTTTTCTATTCAAATTCAAATTTTTTATATACAGGCTGATTCTTTTATCGTTCAACAATTATTATCTCGAAAATTATTAACATGGTTGTACACCGTTAAAAAAACATAATAGAACCACCCATTCAAGTCTGAAGGATTAGTATTTATCGATATCATTGTGTAAAATAGTTGCATAACGATTAGTAGATAAATACGATGATCCTGACGGCGGTGTGTAACCAACCGCGATATTTTGAATTTCGACGGTTAACTTTTCACTAAAAATTAATTAAAAAACTAAACTCACCTTCACAGTAGCACTGCAAATGTTCCTGGCTACTATCCCTACTAGTTTCATGTATAAGACATAAAAATACTGGATTTCAGGAACACCTGAAGTTCGACTGAGTGCTGGGGAATCACCCGGAATTCGGGAAAATTTTACACTTAAGTGTTAGTTTATCATCAAATAACTGTGTGATCGACTTGAGAGTTGAGGCTTGCATCAATAGATTACACACGTTCCTAGCTACCAATATGATCCAATGATTAAAAAATGAAAGTCAATTTTTAAATGATTTGAGCACCTGTTCATTCTCCGACACCTTCAGTACAAGACGGGCCCGAGTCGTTATAGTTGGATACAGCTTGTTATTTATCAACAAACATAAATAAACATTTATATTTTTTCAGTTTTATATCAAAATTTAAACCGGACACAAGTCTCTATATAGTAAATACAGAATAAATAATGCATTTCCGGAAACTCACAGCAATTATATTAAAAGAAACAGAAACTTGGAAAACCGATACAGGGTATAAATTCTGAAGATGTATTATGGCATACCACTAACATTAGAAAAGTTGATCAAAGAGGTGGTCTAACCGACACAGTTAGATGTATTTTCCGTATAATTTTCAGACAGGACCCAAAATCCACTATAGAGTTAGCGATGTAGTTGGTGGATGGATTCGACGAGGGACGCTATTACAATGTTCTGGTCGGCAGAAAAAATAAAGTCCAAAATAAACCATTTGATTTTACTGAAGCTGATTTTGATCCATACTGCATAAAATGTTGTGATCCGGTTACAACTCGTACAAATCGATTACATACATGGGCCGGTTTGATTCGATGACGAAGAGGTGACAAAAGGCACCAATCCACTTCTGGGCGCTTTCTTTTTGCTTCTAATGGATGATTGTACTGGATTATTCGGATTACCATAATCGTGTAATACACGTAATATATTCGCTATGGTTTGTGCACTAAGGATCAAAATATGGTTTGTAACTTCTTACTACCAGTTTTTTCCTTGAATATTATATGGTTCAAAGTCTGAATCACTTAAATATATTGGTTTGTTGCACATTTTTTTTAATCATTGTATAGCACATTCAGTAACGGACTGGTCCATCATATCCAACTTCCCACAAGATGAGCAGCTTCAGCGGATTTGTGTTCCACGTTGAACACAATATTGAAAATGCAATTCACAGTATCCAACAATCCACCGCGTTCGTTGGCAGTCCTTATTTTCATTACATACCATAATATGTCTTCGGGTGATATGTCCAGAGGTTCTCTTCCCAAAATGTGATCAACAATTTCC